AAAAAAAAAAAAAAAAAAAAGAAAGGAAAGCCACGGATGTAGCTCAGCAACACAGCACCTGTCTGGCAAGCGCGAGGCCATGAGTTCGATTTGTGGTACCTAAATAAATAAAGAAAAATGAAAAGTAAAATGTTGGTACTATTACCATGTACGTACTTTCTGCTCATGCAGTGGGCAATGGATGCTACTTAGGGCCTTGTGGTAATGCACACGGACCGAGAATTCTCCAGAATCAGCCTTCTGCTTCCTCTGCTACTAATTTAATGGCTGGATCATATCATGGTTGCTACTGTGCTGTTGTCAGTTGCACCACATTGCACTGCGATGTGAACCAATTGCTTACTTTTCACCAGACAGTAGCCCTCACACAGGATGTCTGTGTCTTATGTTAGGTTTTGCTGGAGATTTGGGGTCAATGCAAGGTTTTACATTATCATATGATTCTGCCCCTTCTGCTCTTTGAAAGACTTCCCACTTTCCCATGGGACTGCCCTTTTATAATTTGGCTTTGTGTGTGTGCCTGTGGTTTTTTTGAGACAGGGTCTCTTATATTTCAGGCTAGCCTTAACCTCACTACTTGTGGTGATTCTCCTGCCTCAACCTCTGAATGCTGGGATTAGAGGTATGTACCACCATAGCTGGCTAATTTGATTTTGATTGGTGCTGTACACCAGATTTTGATTTTTTCAGGATAGCCTAGGAGTTTTAAATATGTCTTGCTAGATAACAACAGAACATCCCTTCCTCTTCCCAGCATGAAACCTGGAAGAACACACAAAGGATCACAGTAGCCAACATTTGTTTCTTCCAATTCTGGCAAAGAAAGAAGGGAGTGAGATGAATTATTTCTTTGCTATATGAGTTATGGCACCTCCCTCAAGGGTCAGCAGCTATAGTTGGTTTTAGGTTTTTTTGTTTTTTTTTTTTTTGAGACAGGGTCTCACTTTGCAGTTCAGGCCGGCCTTGTCCTCACTGTGTAATCCAGGTCCTGGAACTCAAGCAATCCTCCTGCCTCAGCCTCCTAAGTACTGTAATGACAGGTGTGCCCCACCATGCCCAGCTTGGTTTTAGGGTTTTTTTTTTTTGTGATATGGGGATTGAACTCAGGTCCTTGTATATGCTAGGCAAGCACTTTATCCCTGAGCTACATCCTCAGCCTAGGTTTAGTTTTAAATAACAATATTTTCTGTCTTAGTTACACTATGATTCCAAAATAATCTATGAATTCTGAATTCTTTTGTCTCTCTTGGCTAGGTATGGCCAACCACATTAATGCTAATAATACTATTATTTTATTATTGGCAGTAAGTAAATTCCTCTTCAAGGACAATTGAAAACTTTTGATCAGGAAATGATGTGAGTAGATCTTAGGGCATGAACAGTAAATAGGAGAAGAGAAATCAAGATTTAAATGGGCATAGTGGTGCATACCTATAATCCCAGCACTCTGGAAGCTGAGGCAGGAAGATTTCTGTGAGTACGAGGCCAGCCTGGGCTACATAGTGAGTTCAAGGCCAGCCTGAACTACATAGCAAGACCCTGTCTCAAAAAACCAAAAAAGAGAGAAGCAAATGGATTAATTGTACTACAATTTAGGTCAGGCAATGAGCTAGGATTGTGGCAATAATTGAGGGAGAGGAATTTATACAGTGATTCAGTGTAGAAGTAGTGACAGTGGATTCAGACATTAGAAAAAGAGATACTGCCAGGCATGATGGCACATGCCTACAGTCCCAGCACTCAGAAGGCTGAGGCAGGAGGTTCAAGCCAGCAAGTTCAAGGCCAGCCTGGGCTACACAGTGAATTCAAGGACAGACTGAATTATAAAGTGAGACACTGTCTATTAAAAAAAAGGTAGCCTCTCGTAGCCCGGTGAGGCGGTGCACACAGGTAATCTCCAGGACTCTCAGTGGCTGGGGCTAGGCTGAGGGTATAGCTCTGTGAGAAGGAAGCCCTTGGCACAGTGCCACAGGGCCCACACTAGCCCTTCTGGTCTCCTCAGGAATGACTTCAGTCAAACGCTGTACTGTCCCTGTTCAATTGACACCAACTGCCATCTTTCTGGGATAAGATGAAGGACCCGTGTCAGGCAGAGGATTTGGACTTCTAACTCCTAGTCTTAGGTATGAAAACTCGTTAAGGGCAGTGATTGCATTTTTTACAAGTGCCGAACACTTAAAAAACCAACAGAATTCACATTCTGTGGCAGTTCCCATCTTGTGGCACCCTTGCTGGTCTAGATAAGGGGGCGAGCAGTCTGGTACTTGATTCAGCACTCTACACTGGCAGGTAAGAGGGGAGCTGCCGTTTGGTTTGTGCATGATGTGTGGCCCAGGAAAGAGGCAGGATACTACCTGTGGGAAGCCAGCCCGCTTAGAAAGTGTTGCAGGGCTAACATCTCTGCTTGGCACCCAGGACCTCCTCATATCATTTCATGGTTCAGCCCCACAGTTCTCCTTTCTCTATGCTACTAGTCATACTTTCTTTTTATTTTAATTTTTTTTTGTTTTTTGAGACGGTCTTATGATGTAGTCCAGGCTGGCCTTGAACTCCTAGCAATTCTCCTGCCTCAGCCTACCAAGTGCCAGTATGAAACACTTTCTTTTTCTTTTTAAAAAATTTTGTTTGTTTGTTTGTTTGTTTTTGAGGCAGGGTGTTGCTATGCATTTCAGGCTGGCCTTGAGCTCACTTTGTAGCCCAGGCTGGTCTCGAACTCTCAACGATCCTCCTGCCTCAGCCTCCCAAGTGCTGGGATTATAGTGTGCGCCACCATGCCCAGCTAAGTACTTTCTTTTTAAGTTGCCTTCAGTTCCTGCACTTTTCCTTGGGTGCTCCTACAGTACTTTACTCGTCCTCCATCCCACCCTAGTTCTTGGTTTTTATTCCACTACTTTTCTCTGACCTCAAGATTTTTATCTTTTCTTAAACTGGGAAAGTTACCTGGGTAATAGTGATATTTTTCAAATCTAGATTTTTTTTTCCAGCTGAAAAACACTGTCTTCTCTTGAGTTCTCCATGAGTTGTTGCCATGCTGTGCCAACCATGGATGACATGGAAACGGCCGTGAGGCTTCTGTTCTGGAGTCCAGAAGGCAACCAAGAGCACAGCACTGAGCTGCTCCAGGAGATGCCAAAGACGGAGTCACCCAGCCCAGAGGGCTCCGATGGGGGAAAGGAGATGCACAGTGTTTATAATTCAGGGAAACAGTCTTTGGGTTGAAACTGCAGAGGTCAAAGAGGACAATTAGTTACATAAAAAAAAGATGAGTTAACCAGAGGGAGCAGGCAAACACCCTGCAGCAACAATGGGAGCTTGACTCAGCCTCACGGCTTCTGTCTCTTGAAGGCTCTGTCAGTTTCTCCAAGCTGGAGCTTGGCCGGTCTCCCGGTGCTGACCTAATCGGAGGGCAGAGGGACTTAGTCACTCCATTCTCAGGCCTCTCCTCACTGCCTCTGGCCAATGTGCTGGTCCATTCAATTATTTGCTTCCTCCAAGCCCACGGGTGTGTCCCCCAGTGAGGTGGAGAAGAAGCTGATGCACCTGGCTTGCATCCCAAACAGGTAAAGTTAGCGCTTCCTCTCCTTG